GTTTCTTTGGAGATCCACCCAACTGAATCACTGGACTTAGAACTCCAATCATGGAGAGAATTGCAGCTTCCATGGTCTGACCGTGGAGTGGATGTGTCAGAGCTGGGCCTTCTCAGTGGCTTAGACAGAGCAGTGAACAGCATATCCAGATGCACATGGAGGATATGGCAGTACACTGGAGTCTGCAGAGGGCAGCTGGTACCATAACAGAGAATGGAGGGCAGAACACATTGATCAACTACCCCTGCCAAGTATTTGCAATGAATATCTGGGCAGAGACTCTAAGGTGGACTATGTCAGCCAGTGGATTCTGGAGAAATTTCATTGTGCATGGAGTGGTGAGATCAGCAGCAATTTAGAACTGTTGAATTATGACCACTTGCACATGACCCTTGGAGCAGGCTTCACATCAGGGACTCTGGATGGCAGGGAGGCTCGGGGTAGCTTCTCCCCTTATCTCTTTTCCTTCCCCCAGATATAGGAAGGCAAAAAGAGACTGTGGAAATGATGGTCTCACCCAACTCCCTCTAGCCCTTGACCCTTCAAACCCTAATCAACTGATGAAAAATCATCAGAAATTTTTTCAGTGTAATTTTACATTCAAATTCAAAAAAGGAAAATCAGATAAGATACCAAAAAGCCATATATTTAAAGGCCTCAGCAGGCTGTTGATACAATAAATTTTTAGTAGCTAACATTCTATAGAATCATTAACTAGAGAGTGATTTGAAAAAACTGCATTCATTTCTTTCTCTTATAGGCTTTACAGATTCTATGTAAAATAGTTCTGAAACTAAGCTTTGCTGCTCCTGCCACAGGACTGAGAAACCACACCTTACTGGCACTTACACAGGACTGAAGTGACAAAATCAGAGATTTTAGTGTTGTTTCTTTTTTTTTTTAAAGGTTTATTTTATTTTTATTGCAAAGCCAGATTTACAGAGAGAAGGACAGAGAGAAAGAGTTTCTGTCTACTAGTTCACTCGTCAAGAGGCTGCAATGGCTGGAGTTGAGCTGATCTGAAGGAAAAAGACAGGAATTTCTTTCGGGTCTCTCACGTGGGTGCAGGGTCCCAAGGCTTTGGGCCATCCTTGACTGCTTTCCCAGGCCACAAGTAGGGAGATGGATGGGAAGCGGGGTTTCTGGGATTAGAACCGGCACCATATGGGATTCCAGCACGTGCAAGGTGAGGACTTTAGCCACTAAGCTACCGCACGGGGCCCTAATATTGTTTCTAATCCCAAAATAATTTTACAAATGTAAAACCCATGTGAGGCTCAAGGCAAGTAAAGAGAACAGAAAATTTTCCCAAACCATAAATTCTAAGGTTACAAACATCAATAGAGAATACCTTATATGCTAGTAATGATGTTGCTAAAATAAAGAAATAAATCTTATTAATAGCTACAAAATATACTTAGGAATAAATTTAACCAAAGCACCAAGCAATCTCTATAATAAAAATCTTCTCGAATTTAAAAGACAAAAAATGGGAGGAAAGATATCTCACAATCAAGAATTGAAAAGTATTGTCAAAACCTAAAAAAAGATGGGACTGCACCAAATTAAGAGGCTTATGCATAGCAAAAAAAACAATGAACACAATCAACAGAGACCACCATCAGCATGGGAGAAACATTCTGCAAACTACTTACCTGAGAGCACCAGTGCTACAGCACTCACCACAACAGCCAGGATATAGAATCAATCAAGCTACCATCAACAGATGAACGAATTTTTAAAATGTGGCATGGACATACAGTGAGACATTTTCATCCATTAAGTAGAATAAGCAGAAGGAATTTCAAAAACTCAAAAATTAAGCCAAAAAAAATTAGTCAATCCATTTAAGAAATGGGTAAAGGCCTGGGCAGACATTTCTCAGAAGAAACATCCAACCAATATATGGAACATGCAAATCAAAACCACAATGAGCTATTTCTTAACTCCAGCTAAAATGTCTATTGTCAAAAAGACAGAAAATAGATAATGACAAAAGCATAGAGAACTCTTATATACTGTTTGTGGGAAGGCAAATTAATAAAGGCACTTTGGAAAATGGTGCAGAATTTTCTTAAGAAAGCAGAAAAAGAGCCGATATTTGATCTACCAACTCCAAAATAACCCTATGCAAAACAAATCAAAAACAAAACATCAAGCCTGATGCATCATAATACATGATTTCAAAGCATATTACAAAGTTAAAGTAAGTTACAGGTAAAAAAAAAACAGAACATAAACTCTAGAAATTCATCTATAACATAAAACCTTCTGATTTGTGACAAAGGTGCTAAGCACACACACTGGTGAAAGGGCAGTCTTTTTAATATGTGGTGTTGACAAAACTAGCCATACACATGTAGAGTAGGATTAAATTAGATAGGTTCTTATTGTCAAATAAAGATAAAATTAACTCAAAATTGACCAAAGACATCATTTTAAAACCTGAAATCATGAAATTGGTGAAACAAGATTTCTTAGTGAAAAATCAAACTGTATAGCAACAAAAGCAAAACCAGATAAATGGGATTATATAAAACTGAGAATATTTTGTATAGAAAATGAAACCACAGAGTGAAGAGACACCCAACAGAATGAAAAAAATATATATGCAAGCTTCTAATTTGAAAAACGCTTAGCATCCAGAATACAGGTGCCAGTGTTGTGGCATGGCAAGTAAAACTGCCACCTGCCAACACTGGTGTTCTGTATGGGCACCACTTCAAATCCTGGTTACTCTTCTCTGATCCAGCTCCCTGATAAGGTGCATGGGAAAGCAGCAGAAGATGACCCAAGTTTTTGGGCCACTGCAAGCCATGTAGGAGACCAGGAAGAATTGCTTGAGTCCTGGGTTTGGACTAGCCCAGCTCCACCATTGAGACCATTTGAGAGATGAACCAGTAGATGGAAGACTAACTGTTATCTCCCTTTTACAGTCTTTCTGCATTTCAAATAAATAAATACATAAATCATTGTATAAAAAACACAGAATATATTTTTAAGAAGCTAAAAAAAAATCCCAAATGCAAACTAGCAAAAAAGCAACCATGCAGTTAGGAAATGAGCAAAGGCACTGAATAGGCAATTTTCAAAAAAAATAAAAACAGCCCCCAAAACATGTTTAAAAATCTACTATCACCAGCCATCAGAAAAATGTAACTCAAAATCACAATTACATAACACATTACTCCTGTCCAAACATATATATCAAAACCATAGAAAGTAATTAGTACTACTGAGGATACAGAGAAAGGGGTATTCTTAGATACTTCTGGTTGGAATGTAAATTATATAGCCCTTGTGGAAAATATAATGGGAATTTCTAGTAAGAAATCAGTAGAAATAGAACTGCTACATAATCCAATAATCTGACTACAAGATAAATAGAAAATGAAATGAAATTGCTGTTGCCTGTTCCATTACATCTATGTAGCACTGTTCACAATAGCAATAATATAGAATCAATGTACCCAATGCATAAATAAAGAAAACATGAAACTGTTCAGTCATAAACAAAATGATTTCCTATCATTTGTGACAAAATGGAAAAAATCATTTTGTGTTTGAGCCACAAAAAGATAAATACACAGAAAGACACAGAAAGATAAATACTTCATGTTCTCCCACATAGGTGGAAATAAACCAGCCATAGAGCTCTCTCTCCCCACCCTGCACAGATCTGCTTCTTAAATAAATATAAGCAAATCTTAACAACAAACAAGTAAAAAATGAAAACAAAATCCAATCTGAACATACAAGAGTAAACACTAGAGTTGGGAGGGTTAGAAAAATAAAAACATATTCAATAATGAGTACCAAATCAGAGTTAGATAGAAGAAATAGATTCCATAGCACTGTGGGGTGACTATAGTTCAGTCCATTTTACATTTTATGAGCAAATAAAACAAAAGCTCCAAGACTCCAGTAATAAAGTAATGATCAAAAGGTTAAAGGATCACTGACCTGATCACCACACAGTATATACATATCGAAATGTTATACTATACCCCATAAATAATGTGTAACTACTTACAAACAGAATTATTTTAATGTTTTACAAAGGAAATAGGGAAAAAAAGTAAGGCATGAGTGGCATTAAGTACCCCAATTCCCGCCCCCCCCCCAAAAACAGTGGGATGTTTGCAATCAGGAGTAACAATAATCAAGAACAGGCTGTGCCCATAAGGTAGCTGGCAGAAGCAGTGAAAAGCACGTAATGGTTAGAAGAAGAAACTAAGAAATCAGTAGCTGAGGCAAAAGGGTCTTCCACATAGATATTCAAGTCACCAAGAATTATATAAAAAATGACATATCCTAAAATTTTCATGATATCAGGGAAACAATATAGGAATGTGTGGTTGTGTGTGTACTGGTGAGTACAGGCTGGTGTGCGAGTTTTACTTTCAGAGAAGAAAAAAGAATACTGTCCTAAAGACACTATGAAAGAGTAAGCCTACAAAGGCCTGTGCTGTGACTGTGTGGAAGAAAATATAACCACTACTTGAACAGACTAAGGTGGATGCAGTAGTGTCAGCAGATGTTCAGGTTTCAGCCACAATACGGAGATGTTAAATGTTCAGGAAATATTACACTAAATTTAATTCATTTATCAACACTTTCTAAAAGGCATTGAATAAGGAGTCAGAATAAAACAGTAATAAAGACACAAGCTCAGCTTTCACACAATTGCAATGTAAAAAAAAAGTCTCATTAGAGTGACTGTCTTAAAAAATAGCACTAAAATTTTCAAACAATTTTAGCTGTATCAAACTAACTTTGTTTTGAATTGAATATGTGTTTGATTTTATAAAGAAATGAGTGTGCCTATTTGGAACAATGGCATAACAAATTATGGAATTAATATATCCCAACATTGTTGGTAATCAACATATGTTAAAAACTAATGCACATTAAAGTTATCTGCGCAAAAATCACTCAAACGGTTAAACACGGGAGGGGTGGTGAAAAGTACATGGTTTCACACACACATGCACATTTACCTGAGACAAGGCAGCATCCCGTTCTTCTATCACTGCATTCATTTCTTCCGCAGTTATTCTCTTTTTACATTCCTGGGTCTTGTAGATTCTATCCACAATTACAGCTCCATTCTTCTGAATAGCTATCCCTGTGTCTGCATTGTTTATTCTGTTCAGTAATTCCTGTAATGTCTACCAACACCAGTATATGTTAGTAAGACATGAAGTTTTAATATATTTTATTTAATATAGGGTTTTAATTAATAGGCACATGTGAATTGTAAATTGACTGAGTGAAGTTATTGAATTTTCATATTGCAGCAAAGATGTACATTATTAGTGTGTCAATTCTTCTTTTTCCCACATCTTAGTTCTTGAAACCCACTCAATTGAACTTAAGCCTCTAAGATATAAGACTGACATCAAGAAATCTCCTCAGAGAATGGCTTACCATGTCATTTTCTTCAGGGTTAATATTTTCTAGCCTAGAAAAAAGGGACACAGAAAGCCTGATCAGTAGCATTTCCTTAGTGCAGCAAAATGAGTTCGCTTTTTAAATCTTTAGAACCTCAAGTAATTTTATTCGACTAGTCTTTAGAGTCAACCATGACACTGAACATATTAAAGTGCCACCTGCTCGACTCCATCTTTCAATAATGCTCGGTATCTTCTGCACTGACTTCAGACTGTTAAGTTATTAATGTTTACTGCTATATATGACTACAAGGATCAATTGTTCATATGTGCTTAGATGAAGAAAGTTCCCCAGTGATGGAAGCATTCATTCCCATCATTCTGTTTATTCCTGGACTTTGAATCCTTACCCGAAACTGTACTTCTTTCCATTTTTGGATTCCATCACAAGTAAAACAAGGCAAGTATTTTTATTTCAAAGTTTAACTATGTTCCCTCAAAAACAATGACAAATAATTACATTAACTGACCAAAAAAATCCCTTGTTATCACCTATTTGTTACAACAAATACACTGAATGGAAAGGATAATCAAAATCGGATCACATTTTTACATTACCTTTTTTTCTCCATATATTTTTTGTAATATAATTACTCAATTGAAAGACAAAGAAATTTAACTGCTTTCATGAATACACTGTTTTATACAGCGATGGTAAACATTTTAATGTTTGTTAATAAACTGAAGAAAAAGAAATTCTAAACAACATACTTTAGAAAATATCTTTACTAGGCAACGACTGAACTGGGTAAATTGAAAGGAATCTGATCTGTTTTAAGTACTAATAAAGTGATATAGAATCTAGCAGTGATTCTAGCTTTTCATAAATTGAACTAAAAATGTACACATCTAACTTGCTGCTTTTTCTCCCATCTCTGTGGTCCAATGGTATAACATTTGCTATAAAAATGGACACTGCAAAAAATAGTGGAGAACAATGAATGCATTACAAAACTAGAAATTATACTCAAATAGAAAGTAATAATTTTAGGCCATATATCTTAATAGAAAACATAATGTCAAAAAATCACCCTAAAAGTAGTTGAATGATATGTTAAAGGAAAGGAAGGCATAATAGTTTTGAATTGTATATAACTTAGTGTGTTTTAAATTATTAATATACACTTGGATTCACATTTCAAAAATCATAGCTATTTTCATCTTTCTTATCTCCAAAATAAATAAAAAATTTAAAATGATGCTCTACATGTTTATTCTACAAGACTTGTGAGGCCAACCACTTATTTTTTACTCAATCAAAAAATGCAGCAAGACAATATAAGATAATTAATTTATATTCATTTATTGTCATAGTGAAATTATCTGAAGAACGCTTAACCACACTAAATAAGTTTGCTATGATCTAATTGATATGAGTATATTTTAAATTATTAACAGAAAAAAATATATGGAATTTTTATATAGTTCTCATAAGCTCCTTCCAGGAGTTGCAACACTAAAAAAATACATCAAAGACAAACAGATGAACAATTCCCATATTTTAAATTAACAGATTTTAATAAGAAAGGGTTAATATAATGGTCTTTTCCTGTAATACAAATTCACTATAAACAATTAGAATTTCTTTTAAAAATAAAAATCATATGTTCTTATCAAGAGCTAAACTAAATACCTGGCAAATGAATTAGACTTAAAATGACTAAGATTTGAAAATTTTTATACACACATGCAAACTCATTCAAAACCGAATATAAGAAAAAATGGTATTTAAATTTCTGTATTTGTATTTCTTTAAGTCTGAGGAAGTATTTGTCACAGATATCAAAGACTGATTAAATATTAACTTACTCAGCTAAATTACAGAGAGCAGATATCAGTAAACTTTTTTGTGTGTGCCAAGGTCCAGATAGCATAGATTTTAGGCTTTGCCATATGTTCTCTGTTAGAGGTACTAAATTCTGCCTTTGTAGCACAAAAGCATTCATGGGTCCAATGTAAATGAAAAGGTGTGGCTAGGTTCCAATCAAGCTTTATTTTCAAAAACAGGTGGCAAGCTGAATTTCATCACAGTTTTCTACTCTGCTAGCACAAAGTACTGGATAATGAGACCAGTTCCTTGCTATGAATACACTGGAAGTACCAATTCAATATGTTTTATATAATTTTCCGAGCCAGATCATTCAGTAGTTAGTTAAAGATTAAGAGTCAACAAAAGTGATTTCCAGAAAATAAAATTCAGGCCTACAATAAATACTTCATTACTGTATTATTTAACACAATATGAAATTAAACAGTCTACGTTTTTTAAACAAAGCTCTTTGAAAGAGCTATATAAGACTATCAATCTTTACGTTAAATTACAACTTATATTAGTGGTATAAGACTTACCAATTTATTTAATATATAATACAGCTGATGAAATCGAAAAAAGAATCACAACCTTTTGAAAACTCTAAATTATGCCTACAACAGTGTAACTTGACATAGTCATGATAATTAGTAAGAATTTTGCTGAAGTAAATGTCTATGGGCTCAAGTTTCAATTGATTTCCTATACCAAGCAAATTCTGACTGACAACCTTGCACTCTAAGAGAAAAGACCCAGGCATGAAATGTCACATTTCTTGATTTATCCCCTAAATCAGTCAATACAACCTTTTTGCTTTCTGAAACTCACCTTATTCAATTGTAAAAGCAAAATGTTGACCTCAACTGATAAAAAAACTAGTGACCAGCTCATCATAAAAACTCTACCTTACTTGTTTTTGTTCTCTAACTCATTTTCATACAATGCCACATTTAATATTAAAATATCAATAAAGAAATAGAAATAGGACATGACCTCAAGAGTTGGAATACTTATATAATACTTATATAATACTTAAAAGACAAGAAAAAAGGCACTGAAGATTCAAGAAACGGAACACAGATAAACCAACAGAGACAGCTAAGGCCCCTATAGCAGAGTGGCACAAAATCTATCAGAAGACTCAAAGGGAACCAGAGGAAAAAAAGAGGACACAAGGAATCAGGCATACAGAAGGAAAGAAAATAAAAGAGGTATAAAATAATTTACATCATTTTATAATACTCAATGCATTCAAATGTCTTATAGTCTAGCAAAAATAATTTATTAGGGATTTAGCTCATAATGCACTCCTTAAGGTTCATAACACATAGACTCAAGTTAAGAGAACAGCATCTCCCAGGAACATCCAAATCAATGCTGAAAGGGTATTCTGTCCTTTTCTTGCTTGTTATGTAGGGCCTTTCCCCTCACCAGCATCCCTAAGACTTTCAAATTACTGTTTCTAGAAACCAACAATTCTTCATATCAATTACCACTGTTTTAGCCAGTATATAATTCACTGAGAATTATGATGCTATGTTTCCAGCAATTGGCACTGTGGTTAACAGATTATATATTCACTACTTAGTGATGTTATAATTAATAAAAAGCACAAGATCAGACGTTTCCCTGGTATCACATTCCTCATCCTGCCTTAATGCTAAGGCTACAAATAACAAACAAAAGCAATTTTCAAAAAACACTAGTTTTGAGAATCAAGATGGTGGAATAGGGTAAGGGCACATTTAAACAGATGGAGAATCATTAGCCAGAGAGAAGCACAACAGGGCACATTCCAGAAAAAGCGAGAGGACAGGCCGAAAGCAGAGGGGCACCTGGAGATTGACGGGCATGGGACAACAATTGGTGTAACAGTGACCAGATACACATTCAATCCCAGGGACAAGGAGAGTGACGTTTTTACATTGCTTAGCAAGAAAGAATACAGGACCCAAGAATTTTATTCATATCCAATTTGATGCCAAGCATAACACATAACCAGCACTGAGTTGGCTTAACAGGAGAATGAAGGAGCTATGAGATCATCCTCAGGAAAAAATGAAATGCAGTCACCAAGGACATCACATTGAAAAGAACTCAGACATAAAATGCAATCTATCATAAAATTTCAGTAATGATTATTCAAGTCTTTTAAATAAAAATTAAGATAAAAGCCACAAAGGACATGAAAGCTATATAAACCAAAATGACCATGGAAACTAAAACAAATTTTATAATTTTTAAAGTCATACTAATGATGAGAGGGTTAAAAGAAGAATATAAAAGTGCTTACTTACCTCAGAACTCATACCCAAGTCAAATGATACTACTTAATTGAGAAATTATTTAAAAAGTACTATGACTCAAATGCTTTAATGTTTTCATAGTCTTTTTTTCTTAAAAGTAGAAGGTTCTTTCGGAAATCAATATATTGTATTGAGAGATAGAATTACACGATGCTCAAAATTTTCTACCAGTTTTATTTCAACTGACCACGACTATTAAATTCAAGTAACATGGGGCCACACGGTGGCATAACAAGCTGATCTCAACCTGAAGCACCAGCATCCCATTTATGGGAGCTGGTTCATGCACCAGCTGCTCTACTTCTGATCTAGCTCTCTGCTTATGACCTGGAAAAGCAGTGGAAGATGGCCCAGGTCCTTAGGCCCTTGCATGCATGTGGGAGGCCTGGAGGAAGCTCCTGGCTCCTGGCTTCAGATTGGCTCAGCTCCAGCCATTGTGGCCATTTGGGGAGTGAACAGCAGATGGAGAATCTCTTTCTCTCCCCAGTGCTCTCTGTAAATATGTCTTTAAAATAAAAATAAGGAAACATTTTAAAATTGCTTTTAAAAGTTAACACTTGCGTAGCACAAGCTATGGACCAGATAGTTACATTATCTAGTAAACCACTTAACTTCTTGACAACCTGTCATAATAAGCACTATTATATCTTTCTGGAAGCCAAACACCAAGACACAGAGACTCCAAGCTGCATATCCATGCTTGTACAGTGCAGCAAAGAAATTTGAAGACAAGATTACTGGATTGAAAATTATGTTCTTAATTTCTCTATTACACTGCTTCTTACATTAAAAAGCACACAGAATGTGACTGGAATTACTCTGAGAGAGTATTAATTAACACAAAATTAATTACATGGGTACACATATTGAACCACCAATAAACTATCCTTCTAGAAAACAGCATCTCAGCACCTAAGTAAAAAGAAAATATTTAGCAATGTTTCCCTATTGGTAAAGACGGCTATTTTGGAGTAGGAGCTTTGAAATTTGGTTTATTAATTTAGCATTTTCAACTGACCCCATGCTTTATAATAAATATCCATCTTAGAAAAGTCTTTAAACAAAAAGCAGATCACACCTCTTAATCATAATATGAACATCACATTGCTAATTAATTATTTGCCTTCTCTAGTGAGCCATGTTTAGTTAGCAGTTTACTCTGATTCTCCACAGAGGCTATCACAACATTGAGCAGAGCAAATACAGTGTTAAGTGTATTCATTAATCACCACTAAACAGTAGATTACCATATTATTAATTATATATTACTATTAGATTAGTAGATTCTATTTCACAGGTAACAAATTTCTTAGTGCCCTACGGCTTTTATTTTCAAAACATATTCCATACGACAGCAACATTCATACTATCTGAGACACTGTTAAAAGGCAGAATCACAGGTTACCCCAGATGCACTGAACCAGTCTATACAGTAACTGGGTTCCCCTAATTTTTACATTTTATACTAAAATCAGAGAAGTGGAGTGGGCCTTGTGATGCAGGTTTAGCTGCCACTCAGGAATCCCACTGATCGCAGTGTTAGTTTGAGTCCTGGCTACTCTTCTGACCCCACCCCCTACTGATGCTTCCAGGAAGCACGAGAAGACGAGTCAAGCACTTTAACTGCTGGCATCCACACAGGACACCCAGGTGAAGCTCCTGACTTCTACCTGGCCCACATGCAGCTGCTAAAAACCAATGGATAAAATATTTCTTTCTCTCTCTCTCACTCTTGCTCTCTTTAATAAAGCTTTAAAAATAAATGGATAAATAAAGCAATCTGGATAGTACACTACTCATCTCTAGAGCATTATTATTATTATTATTATGGCCTATTATTTACTTATCAACACTGGGCAAGGAAAACACGCCACAGGTGTATTCAGTAATCACCATTAAATATGATCTCTATACATTATATATATTTCAAATAAATCTATAATAAATGAAGAACTGAAAAGTGTAGCATTTATTTCCGGAGAATCACTTCTCCAGTGTGGTTTATTACTTACCTATCAGAATTAAAGTTACTGCTGAAAACATAAACATCTAGGCTCTACCCTGTTACATGTGACACTAAATTTTAAAAACTTCAGCCTAAAGAACTACAAGTAAAAAATAGTGAAGAACAGGCATAGGAAATATTCAGCAGACTGGAATGAAAGAATCCGGAAAACTGAAATCAATTTTATTTTTAATATTTATTGATTTATTTGAACACGGGCATTAGAGAGAGAGAGAGAGAAAGTGAGAGAGATATTGCATCCACTGGTTCACTCCCCAGTGGCCATAATAACTGTGGCCAAAATGAAGCCAGGTGCTTCTTCCAGGTCTCACCCATGGGTGCAGGGTCACATGTACTCAGGCCATCTTCCACTGCTTTCCCAGGTACATTGGCAGTGAGCTGGATTGGAAGTGGAGTAGTGGGTACTAGAAATGGTGCCTTATGGGATAGTGGCACTGCAAGTAGCAGCTTAAACCATTGTGAAACAGCGTTGGTCCCTGAAGTAAATTTAAACAGTGACAATAGGAGTAGAGGACACAAGAAGTAGAAAAATGGAAGGACACTGGCATGTATGGCAGAGATAAACTCATCGTGAACAGTTCTTTTTAAAACTTGACTATCAGTCCCAACAGGCAAGCTATTAGTATGCCAAAATCTTGATACAAGATTATGGAAACACATAATTTTCTATAATAACATGTAAGAATTACTATTATTTTAAAATATGTAACTATAACATAATGCATAAACTTTATAAATATTCCCAATATAATTTTTAAAGTGTACATACTCTTTAAGAGACATTTCCATACGCTGGGCTCGTGCTATTGCTTCATCTCTCTCCTTATTGGCTAAGTGAAGTCTTGACATAATAGCTTCATCTCGTTCCCTCTGTGCAAAATACACTTCTTCAACCAGAGCTACCAAAATATACAACCCACAATCAGAGAAAATAAGAGAAATCCATACATTCAGTAAAAATGGTTTCATTATTTTGAAGTGTTTAGATTAGTATTCATCAGTTGATTAAGAAAATATCTTAATAGTAACTGCAAAATTAAGATGGCATTTTGCTTCCACAATAAGCGGGGAAAAAGGTCCAAAATCACAAATGACATGAAATTAAGGAAACTCTGAACAGATACTACAAAAAGACATAATATTTACAATCAACTCAAGATCACTTCAACATAAATTGAATTAAATAAAACACATTAAGCACGGTAGCATTGCTTACAGTTATAAAAGCTTGCAAATAACACACTGCTCATTAAAATGAGCAGCATTATATAAATTATTCTACATGCGGTATGGAATACCACCCAGCACTTAAAATGAATTAACTATGAACAGATGGGCAAATGTTAAAAACTAAAAGTTTACAAAAATATGAAGCTGCAATGTAAAATCCTTCTACCTAGAACTTATGAATAAATACAAATATTAAAAATAATGAACAGAACATAGAAATGATAAATACCACATTTAAGATGTAGTAATCCCAGTGGATAGGAGAATGAAAAAAGGAAATGCATCACAGAAGACTGCAAAGGGGTCAGAACAGGCTACTTTAGTACCACACATTTGTACAGAGCAAGCGGCACTGTCAAGATGGATGATAATACAAATGGCATCAGCCAGAGTTATGCAGTACTATTTAAGGGGGAGGCTTTGACCTTATCTGCATTCATCATTTCTTAAGCCTGATTTCTACCTGTTGGTATACGTCAAGTTCTGTTATTTTAAAAGTATAACTACAATGTTGGACAAAAGAGACTCACAGAAAAGGACTAGTGAGTCAAATTTTGTGCAAAGCACAAAATAACAGGAAAATAGTTTGAAATGTTCTATTTATGAAAATATCTGCTTCATGCCCAAGGTTTGCCATAAATTAATATACAATTAAGCAAGATACTTACTACTGTACTACGTAAACTACAAGTGTTAAAAACAATCCTGAGGGTAAATCAACTATATGCATCCATAACAAAATAGTAAAAGTACAAAATGTGTAATGCATGGTAAAGCAAAAGCTAAAACTACTATCAAGTAGCTGAGTCTAAAAGAAGAGAAACATTAGTATATCCATTAATTACTGAAACAATTTTATTTATTTATTTGAGACAGAGAGGCAGGGAGGGAGGAATGGAGGAGGAAAAGGAAAGGGTGAAGGATGCGGGAAGAGGCCGAGACACATGCACAGACATTAGCAGCTGACTTCCCCAAATCCCTGCCATGGCTGGGGAAACTCATGCTGGAAACTGCCAACTTGAGTTTCCAAATCTCCCATACAGGTTGCAGGAACATCACTACCTAAGCATTCTACTACCTGAGTCATCAACAGTGTCCCAGAGTCTGCATTATCAGGAAATAAGAATCCTTAACCGGAGCTAGGAAATGTATTCTGGCACTCTCATAGGAGAAGTTGGTGTACTAACTGGTGTCTTGCCTGTTAGGTTAAATGCCCACCCCAACACATCAGATGTTTGTTAAAATAGTTTTAGGCGATATGAATATAATATTCCAAAGAATCTTGATCCTCCAGGAACATACATTTTAATACAAGGAAATAGTAATGAGAAAAAGTAGTGGAACTCTAGATGAAAAAATACGTGCTGGAGCCAGGAACTTCTTCCCAGTCTACTATGTGGGAGACTTGGACCATTCTCCACTGCTTTTCCAGGCCATAAGCAGAAGCTTCATATGAAGTGGAGCAGTCAGGACACGTTTTAGTGCCCATATGAAATGCCATGCTTGGAGGAGGAGGGTTAGCCAGTTGAGCCACTGCACCAAATCGTAATTCTTTCAAAGATGATCTATCATGTATGCTAGGGAAACAGAATGGTGTTACAGTTTTGATTTATACCTAAGATACTACATTTCAGTTTTATTGTTTAAATTTCTAAAAGTGTGTCAGTCACAGTTCAGGTATATACAATAAACAAAATATCACTTCTTATGGTTACCAGGAAAGATGAAATTAGTTAACACACAAAAGCTCTTAAATAATTAAAGTGGATCTTCACAAACTCTCCTTCTGCTCCAACAGCACTGCCATCATGGTCAACCCAATCTGACTCAATTTTTAAACATATTGATAACAACATTTTATTTAGATAATTTATATATTTAAAAACCCAATTCAAAATTCCTCCCTTTTGAACTTTTTCATTAGCAGACAAAAACGATAAACAGGGATGGAAAAAATTATTCCGGACTCATTCTTCACTAAATACCTTATCACGGTTTAGACAATACAATATGCTAACATTTAAAATTTTTTTTCATGTTAGAAAAATACTAATTTGTAGACAAAAAGGGGATAGACAAAATAATGCTAAATTTTACCATGTTACTTGTGTTCCATTTTAAACACACTAGCTTCTGCTGAGAGGGGTAAAGATAGCAACATCAATGGCTTTATTAAGCATAATTGTCTTTATGCTTTATGTATGTGTAAATGCTTTACACAACGCTTTTACAAATGTAAAAAAGGTAGTTTATAAAATTATAAATAGAAGTTTTTTGATGTTAAGATATTACTGAATGATAATTTTTTGACATCTAACTTGGTTATATGTGGAATTTGTTGGTTGTAAAAATAACTTGCTCTTTCTAGAATTGAGTACTTTTCAGAAATCAATACACAACTCTCACACATTTTTAGTAAAGAAAACTTAATTGTAAACATTGAGCTTTTCCAAGGTAGATGACTATTACAAAGTTCACTACAAAATCAATATAGCATTTTAGTTGGAATTTGCTCATTAAACACCCATAGCTCTAATGCAAATTATGATGGAATGAATAAAGCAAATACACATGCTTCTTTCTTTTTATTAAATGTAAAATCTACTGTTAATTGCATCTCGCATGTCATACAAACTTTTCTCCTTAACTATTAAATAGAAGCTTTAACAAAAGTCATTAGAGATTCACTTTCTTTGACTTGAATAAATTTCAATATTTGTTCAGTAAAGGTTCACCGCAGTTAAATTACATTAACAAATATTATTAGCTACTATGTAAGCCAACCAAGTAAAATACTTATATTGTAGGTAAAACAAATCATTGGGTGTTTACAATAATATTTGGATATCTCCATTTTTAAACATGGTTATCAAATACCCTATAATTCTTAGCCAAATGAGAAAGATTCAGAGAGGATCACCCAGAAACCCCCACCAAATACTCAAATTTGTTTAGTAAGCTAATTGTTTTCTAATACGAACAAGAGTAAATATGAAGAAGCTGAACCATACCAAGCATGAGTTTATTGAGTCAAGGCAGAGTACATATTTTCTTAGTAGAACCCAAGTCTATTGACAGACCCATATGCTACACATTTCAAACTACTTTTAAAATACAGTAGGAGAGAGACAGTATATTGGAAAACATTCTAGTTTAAACATTGAATCATGGCTCTCTAAATAACATAATTTGGAGGACAGACATTCCCAAGGAAAAGAATCTGTTTGTTAACATCCTGTGGCACTTATGTAAATATAAATGTGTGAAATGAAGAGAGGGAAGAAAAAAAATCAATGAGAATTTTAAGTATATCAAATAATCATTACGCATAATTCATGTTCTAAAATTCCAGCCAAGAAATACAGACACCAGTCTCACAGAAAAACACGAGTGTTTAATATATGGAACATTCTCAATCTCTTATTATCTAAAATTATATTTTACTTCAGGAGCAACTATTGGTAAAGGTAACTCTTGATATCAAATGGATCCTTTGTAAATATAATAGTGCTTAATGAAACTACCACATAAGCCTGGGGTGATAGCCTAGTGGCTACATCCTTGCATTGCATCTGCTTGGATCCCATATAGGCACAGGTTCATATCCTGGCTGCTCCACTTCCGTTCCAAATCATTGCTAATGCCCTGGGAAAACAGGAAAGTATGGCCCAAAGCTTGTGGTCCTGCCCCAGTGTGGGAGACCCAGAAGAAGCTCCTGGATCCTGGCTTTGGGTTAACTCATCTCTGGCAATTGTGGCCACTTGGGAAGTGAACCAGTGGATGGAAAAATTTATTCTATCTCCTTCTGTGTATCTGCCTTTCCAATTAAATAGATAAATAATCTAGAATTTCAAATATTACATAATCTATTCTAATTTATTTTAAAATGTGGTTAATCTTTTTGTATAAAAAGATCGTCAGGAATTTCAAAACAGAAAATAAATGCCTCACACAAATAGAATATTAATCAAATGTCACTCCAAGCAGTCTGAAGCCTGTACTTTTAATATTTGAATGCTGAATTCAATGTAATAGCCCCACACTTCTTATACAAATCACACTATCACACTCTTCTAAAATGGGATTTTATGCTTCAGCATTTTATATAATTATTTTATAAAAAGTCTTTGTTTAGTGCTTATTTCAGCAGCACATATACTAAAAAGTCTTTGTTTAAAAAGTAATACAGGGGAACTAGCATGCCTAGCTTGAGACCCTGCTATTCTCCAGTTCAGCTTTGTGCTAATGCAACTTCACAGCACCTGATAACAGTACAGGTATTTGCATCCCTGTCACTCATGGAGACCTGGATGAAGTTCCAGGTTCCTGGTTCCAGCCTCACCCAGACCTAGATGTCATAGGTATCTGAGAGTAACAGGTGGATTAATGGTCTTTGTCCATCTCTGTCTCTGCTTTTCAGATAAAAGTGAATAAAATTTCAATCTGTCAGTATGTGTCATCAGACTTTCTTTCATTATGTTTTAGTAAAATTATAATCAGAAGAAGTACAGAATGCACTAAAAATTAGAAAATTATACAAAAGAGTAACGTTATTCATTTAAGATGTTTGTCTTTATAAAACCATCAATTATTAAATATATGCATTTATAATTGGCTGAAAAATGTCACAAAACCACTGAAAACTATGCCTAACACTTACATTTAAAAA